TAGATTTATTATAGTATTTGAATAGAACATGTGGCAATGATTAGATAATTCTTAAGATGATATAAATTTTGTGCATTGTGAGTTAAAAAATGAACGAAATGTAACGCTGTTAATTGAACCTAGGTCCAGAGTGTCGCTATGGTAAACAAATATAGTGAATTTTAAAGAGTGCATTTATTCTATTGTGGTTTATGCGACATCGACAAAGTAGATTTAATTCAATCCAATAAGTTTAAATGAAATGCAAGAAAAAATGGGCATAATTTAATATTCCGTACAAGGAAGTCATATAGTGCACACATCAGATTTTTATTGGAAGTTACGCATCATATAAACTTGACGTACAAGTTAATCCCTGGGTGCCATATGAGCTGACTCATGGAGACAAGGACGTACTCGGGCCTGCACTAATCTGCTCGAATATCAATGCAAGGACAAAATTCAGGACCGGATCATCACTTGTGATGAAAAATGTATTGACTTCAACAACACAGACCAAAAAGGGGGGTGCCTGGTAAGGCCATCAGCAGCGTCGCAAAGCACAATTTCACTCACAGAAAGATCATGCTTTGTATCTGATAGGATTGCCGTGGTATTATCCACAAAGGGTATTTGGAAAAATGATAAAACCCTCAACAGTAAGGTGTAGAGCGAGATGATAGTTTGTGTTGATGCTGCTATCAAGGGAAAACGATGAATTGAGTTCTAGTGCAAAAAGTTCCACGAAGATAATGAATGACAACATGTGTCTGCATTCACCAGTTGGACTCTGTATCAACTCAAATGGGATCTTTTGCCACACTCACCACATAGCTCAACACTGCTCCTTTGAACATCTACCATTTATCATACTTGCAGCTACATCTTGTTGGAGCTTTCTTTCATTTTGTGAAGGATGTCCGAAATGTGGTTGATCTGTTTGGACTCACGAAGTTTCTGGGCCAAAGGCTTTGAAAAACTACCAAAATGTTGGCAGAAAACCGTAGATTTGGGTGGTTATTACTATCTGCACTAAAGGTACTGCTTTCATGTTTGTTTTTCTAATTTTTTTCAGAAATTTTTTTGTTGGAAAACTTTTATCACAACTTTATGCAACTGAACTTAATGCATTTTGCTAGAAATATTTATTAAAATTTAATTTACTTTCTACATTTTTAAAATGACAGCTCACATTTAAAGAATAAACTAATTTGACAGCTCAAAATAATATGGATTTTAAAATATTTATTACCCAGTGTTTTGCTATGCCTTCAAATAAATAAGATTTGATAAAGAAAGAATAATTGTAAAACAATACTTGAATTTCTTTACCCAAAGGTTTACAGCGTTGTGAATAAAACCCGCCTTTTAGAAAAAAGTGTTTTTGTAAATAAAAGTTGCAGTTAATTAAAGCAAAAGGGGAAAGGTGATGTTTTTCTTTCTTTATTTATTACTGCAATAATAAAGTTTTAAGTATTTCTTTAGAAAATATAAACTTCAGAAAGCATCATACCAAGTTTTCTTTAGAAAGTATCATACCAATATAATAAACATATATTAATATGCTAATAATAACACACATACATATGTAATGAAAGTAAAATGGAAGTCAAAATAAAAATAAATATAATACACCTGATTTTCATATACTCATAAAGCTATAGTATTATAAAATAGTTAATAAAGATTTAAACTTGCTTACTCAAGTTAAAAGGAAATATTTAATAATGCGAGTTTCCTAAATCAGAGGCAGCTAGTGTGCAGCAAATGTGTAAACACAAAACAGCAAAAATGCAAGACCCATAATAAAAGTAAAATACAACAAAGGGGGGGGGGAGTTTTTTAAAAAAATACCAGACAAATGGAATACAGTGAGAAAGAAAAAACGTGAATTAAAAAAAGTTGTCTTGCTTTAAATTTTACATTGCTGTCCTACTCTTTCAGCTGAAAACCTTGACTGCTGCAGCAAACATTGATAACACACAAAGAGCAAATTCACAAACATCCTTTACTTTAAAAGCATAGAAAATCTGTGAATCTTTGGGTATTTTACATTTAAAATTTTCCATTTTATCATGCATTTTACGTTTTTATTTTTGCATTAGACACAATTTTGTTATTTATTTACACTATACTTCTCTCCATATAATATATTTAAATTATTATAATAGGAGGAATGTAGATTTCTTACATTAAATTCAAATGAATACATTTTTAACAAGTTTTTATTTTTAAACAATAATATAATCACCCTCATTATCAACAGCCTTTTGCCATCTAGTGTGCAGATTCTCAATTCTGGACTGTTAAAAATCAATTGGTTTTTGAGCAAAATATCTCGAGATAACGTTTTGGACATCATCAAAATTTTATGCCACTAAGAAAATGTTGTAGGGATTGGAATAAATGGAAATCCAGAAATCCAAGGGTGCGATATCGGGCGAGTATGGTGGATAAGGCAGTACCTCCAACCCCAATTCATTACCGTATTTGATGGCATATAAGACGCACCCTTATTTAGACGGCCACACACAAGGAAAAAAAGTCAATAGCGTGGTTTCTTTTAGTTCTCACGTTTCGTAAAAGCCAAATAAACAATTATTAAATGCAATTACCTTCACATATCAGACTGTGTCCTTCACGTATAAGATGCAGGTAACTTTTTTGAGACCAAATTTAGGGAAAAAAGTGCGTCTTATATGCCGTCAAATACGGTAATTTTTTCCTGTATTCGTCTTGCACAGTGGGGTCTTGCATTGACGTATTGCAGAATGACGCGTTTTCCGTTGACAATTGCCGGATATTTTTCGATTAAAGATCGGTTCACTCGATCCAATTGTTCACAATAAAGGTCTGCATTAACAGTTTGTTCAGGTTTCAGCAATTCAAATGAACAATTCCATGAATAATCCACCAAACACACAAAGACGCCTTTTTGGGATGTAAACCCTATTAAAACTGCCTTTTGTGTTTTGGATTATCATATAGGACCCATTTTTCGTCTCCAGTAAACAAAGGATCAGAAAACAGTTCTGTATGATGCCATTGAAGCGATACGTTGCATATGATGGATCGGTTGGCTGTGTTCTGTTCGGACAGATTATGGGGAACCCAAACACCTGCTATACTTATTTTTTCAATCTGTTTTAAATGTTCTTGGATGGTCGACCAAGATTGGTTAAGAATGTTTGACAGTTCCTCTTTTGCTTGACATGGATTTGCATCCACTTCTGCCCTTAGCACATCGTTTTCTAATGTTGTTGGTCTTCCTGATTGATAAGAGTCAGAGAGATCAAAATTTTACCGGATTTGAATTGGAAAACCATCTTTGGCATTTACAAATGTCTAATGCACGTGGATAAACATCGCAAATGTTTTTGGTCACAACTGTTGCATTACTACCCTTGCAAAACTCAAAAAGCATACAATGCCAGATATGCTCTTCTGGTATTTGGTTCGCCATTTCACCCCAAACTGAAAGGAAAAAAAAAGGGGGGGGGAGAGAGAGTTTAATATTGAGTATTCAGAAGTGAGAAAGTCACAATAACCTTAAAATGACTTCGGCACGCTTTCGAGATACACACTGAGCTGACAAATGACAATCAAATATCGAAATGCGCAGAAACGACATTACTTTCCGGTCCCCCTGTTTATATATACACACGTATATTTTATAAAAAATTAAAAATTTATATTATATATTTAATTATTTATAAAATTATTATATATATATATATATACACATAATGCATACATGTGTGTGTGTATAAAAAATGTAAATGATGTAAAAAATGCAATGAAAGAAAAATGTATTATAGAATATTATTTGCTATCATTATTATCACAAAGTGAATTTGGAGGTAATAAATATTCAGTCCCCTCCCTTAACTGAACAGCTGTGCTTGTCTATGCCTTAGTGGACTGGCAGGTCTTACAGTGGTAGTGATGAGGGCAGTATATAAAATGTAATATGTGCAAAATGAAATTTTGAAATGCTCACAAAAGATAACATAATACAGAACTTATTCAATATTGCAACATTTTCTTTTATTGTTTTTAGATAAAGATAGCTATGGGTCTTTTAAAAGGTTGGTTCCATTTATCTAATTACAGAAACGCAAGTGAAGGCTATCTGCCTAAAGAAAGGGATGCCTTAGAGGAAGACTTCCTCAGGGAAACTTGCTCATAACCATGTTATTTATACAACTCTGCAAAAATAAACCATGCATCTAGCTTGTTTGCCTGGAATCAAAGCCAGGTCAAATTACCAGTGTTCCAACAACTTGCTTGTGGACTATAGTCCTTTAAAAGGATATTTATGGCATTTATAAATGCTATTAAATATACCTGAAGACAACAGACTTTTTACAGCATCTAAATATACATTTAACTTAAAAAGAACGTTAAACTATATTGATTTTAAGTTCTAAGAATAGAAAATGTAAATTTCTAAGTATGAGGTAGTACAAGAATAATTCCTAAATACAACAATCGGGTAATGCAATATCCTATAGCAACACCCACAAAAATGGCAGCCCTTCTATCCCTTGTCACGTGTTAGGTGAAATGCTAAATACATTTGTGAAATTTGAAGAAAAAAATAAAAAGTATAATATAGAAGAGATAATTATGTTATAAATTTTTTTAAAAAGCAGAGCCTATGAAGCAGATGTATATTGAAATTTTATTTGAAAGAACTCCTAATATTGGCAATAATAATGATTTCAAAGCAAAAATCAATTAAAATATGTTTGACTTATTTATGAAGAATTACTGTATGTAATTTTTTCATTTCATAATACATTCAATAATATAAAAAATATTTTATGGCCATTGGAACTATTTCAGTGTGATAATTCAGCATCACTACAGTCCTTAATGTGCAGGATCATCAGACTTGCTGTGTGTGTTAAGTGTAATGCAGGAATATACTTCTTATATTCAGACTGTTTTATATTACTTCTATTTTCAAATACTTTATAGTCAAATTTGACCATAATTCTAATTTAAAAGAACCTACATTGCAAAATCATATTTTTAATTTTAATAAATATGTCTAAATACACATAACTTGCATAATAAGGTCACTTTACATATAAAAATATATAATTTTCACTTGAATAAAATTTGAAAGACAATGCATTTCTTGATTGTATAATAAAAAGATTAACTATTAGTTGTCACAACTCTTGTGATGGCTCGCAAAACATACGGCAAAGATGTGGAATCTCTATGCAACCTGCAAATAAAAATGATACTCATATATACAAAAATATAACCAGTAAGTTCATTCAGCTGTTCCATCATAATTATGATGACTTACCTTCCATACTCCAACTGTTTAGGTGGACTCAGCACGATAGCAGCAACACTAAAATACGGGAAAGAATATTCTGTATTAGAGATTAAATTATAAAAGGCATTTTTTTCTAATCAGAGTAGCTTTAATGCTATTACATTTGTGATATAATAATAATTTAATAATAATAATCATAATAATTTATAATAACCAATACAAGTAGGGCTCCCATTAACATTCAATTTTTAATTGCCTTGACCATCTCTGATTTTCCGTAACCAAATAAAAGTCATCCAGGCAAACTTAATGAACTAGAGTGAACTTTTGAATCACAAATGCCTCTCATTATAAACAAATTATGTGAGCAAAAACATCATGGGTGAAAATAGTGTTTTGTGTTATAACTGTGTCAAATCAATTAACAAATGGTTTTTCAAAAGTGCTTCGAGATGTAGATCTAATATTCAAGGATCTCTTCAAATGCCATTTTAGTATTTCCCATTCTTAACTTTCATTACAAAAACCTAGCGACTTACAGGATTATAAGTTCTTAACTGCATTCTTTATTATTGAAAGGCAATTATACTTCCAAACAGGAATAAAATAGAACAGTTTAATTTGTAAAAAAAGCAACTCATTAACAAATGTAGAAGAGAGTTGTGGGTTATTAAAATTACATTAAAATATGAGGTGGGTGGTTAAATTACTTTCTGCACAAGAAATGAAGATTACAGTAACTCTTCATTTGCTTTCTTTTTATTCGAGAGGACTGATCTGAATTTTTAACTTCCATTACTTAAAAAAAAAAAAAAAAAAAGAGGAGGTACAATCTTTTCTGACCCTTTTATTAAAATTCCACTTTGGTTTCCCATGAGTGAACCTCGAACCAGCTGTCAAACTTGAAGTATGGAAAAACATGAATTTCTGAACTTTAAACCAGCATCATTTTAAAAGAGCACAAAACTCACTTAAATTTGCTTTATAATGCCCAATTCAGTTAATAACTCTATGTAAAATATGAATATTTAATGGGATAGTTTAAACCTTCTATACTTAATTTAATGATTAATTTTCTCATACTTTTATGTTGAAAATCCTGTGTAAGAAAAAAAAATTTTAATTTACAAAGCACTTTTAAATAGTACAATGAAAATAAAATACATAATTAATGTACATGCTACTGTGGCCATAAACTCAGATATTATAAACTATCACATATTGATGCAAAATAAACTTAAACACAGTAAAAATTTCTATGAATATCTGAAGTATGTTAAAACAATTGAAATAAAATAAAATAAGAAAAATTATGTTAAAAAGCATTAAAAGTGGAAATAGAATTTGCAGATTTTAAGTTCCACTGATTCAATAAATGTACTTTCTTGCTAAGAAACATTTTCCTTAGTAAAGCCTAAAAATGGGAGGTGGGGAAAGAGGATGTGGTAAAATAATGGAAGTCTCCTTGTTAAACCCAGGTACTTGATAGCTATGAAATGTAATGAAACAAATTTAAAAAGAATAAATGAACTCTTTTATGCATTTATTACAAAATACAATGAAATGATTAGGAACATCATAAAAATTTCATTTATCTTATTTATCATAGTGGTGGAAATGATAGAAATATATAAGGAAACATGAATTTGAACCATTCAAATGAAAAAATAAGTAGAAATTTAAAAAGCCACATTGAGTTCTGTGTAAAAAACCTTTCATTTGCAAAAGAAGTTTATAAAACACTACACCGTTTATAATAAACATTATTCACATGTTGCCTCAAAATAAAACTGAAGAGCAAAGACTTACACTGGTAAGAAAGGATGTGTTTAACTAACATACTATCTATTACAATGACATATGTTGAATGTTTTGTAACAGTTCATACAATGTCTCAGCAAGATGACTTAGCTGAATCGGCAGATTGAAGGGCCATCAGTTGTTTAGAGACAAGACAAATGCTATCCATTGTAGTAGAAGTGTTAGGTGTTTCTCAAAGTATCATTTTTAGACTACAGAACTGGTTTAGGGAAACTCGAAAATGTTTGACAATGACTTAGACCAGGTCATATGCCTGCAACAATACAAAATGAGGCTCAGTATTTAGCACTAACAACCAGAAGAAATCACATTATGACCACCACTTTCTTGCAAAAGCACTTTCAGAGGGCTCTGGTACCAGAGGGTTTCGACTCAAATTGTTTGAAACGACTCCACCATATGGGTTTGTAAGCTTGTAGACCTATGGTTTGTGTTTCATTGACACAAGACCATCATGTTACCCACAGAAGGTGGTCACAATAGCATCTCAGATAAGAATGAGATAAGTGGAGCTATGTGCTCTTCATGGACAAACACACTTTAGCATATGGCCTAAGAATAGACGAATTCTCATCTAGAGAGAACCTGCTATACGGAATATCCATGCATTTTAGCATGAAATTGTCTGATCTAACAGACGTACAGTGATGGTCTGGGCCAGTATTTATATCAATAGCCACACTGATCTTCACATTACCACGAATGGAACACTAATGGCTCAGTGATATATGGATGAAATCCTCACACCTATTGTGGTCCTTTTTGCTTCATTAATCGGGGTTGAATTCATTCTCATAGATGATAATGTCAGGCCACATTGTCCTCAGCTAGTGGACAATTTCCTTTTCGATGAAGGAATCCTAATGGATTGGTCATCATATTCCGCAGATACGAACCCAACAGAATATGTTTAGGACATTCTAGGGAGAAAAGTTGCTAGTCACTTATTATCCCCAAAAACAATTCAGCATTTTAAAAACTCTCTTCTACAGGAGTGCGAAAGCATACCCCAGTCGCTCTTGTTTCCATGCCTCATAGGCATGCTACATTGCTTCTGGTCAGGGAAAATCATATGCCTTATTAAAGCTCATTTGTATCTGAGAAATTACATCTTTAGCTTGTTTGTATAATATGCACAAATTGTGCATTTTTTCTTTACTAACAAAAACCCTTAATAAAATTTAATTTTTTCTTCTTTGTTGCTTCTTGTACTTTTCTCATAATTTACAATACCTGTACATCACATATCAGCCACCAAAACATTTCCTTATCCATACTTTATATCCAAAATCAAATTATCTCCTAATTATTTGGAGCAGTGTATATTTTGACTGACTTTTCCTAATGTTCCAGGATTTCCCAGGTACGGGAAAACTTTGAATAATAATAACTTTGAAATGAAACTTTGAATAAGCAATGATTTCCTAGCCTGACCACAGATGCTATCCTGATGCAATGAAAATTCAGTACAGATTCCATGTACAGAAGATCTACTCAAAATGAAACAATCTGGTTTTCAATTATTCATGGTTGCCAACTTCAAAATATGAAAAACAAGGAATTTTGAGTTTTCATGCTACACAATGACGCTATTTTTGAAAGAATGTTAAATTGATTTAAATTCACTTTATTATGCATAATTCAGGTCATTGAACTACAGTCAAAAGTCGTTAATCCGGACTCGTCGGGACTTTGGCGATTCCGGATTATCGATTTTTCCAGATTATAGATCATCAGTTTAAATCTGGTAAGATGGCATGCAGAAGTTATAAAATTAAAAATATGAAACCGTAATTTATGAAATAAAGAACAATTATGATCTAAAGGGTATCAAAATTTACAAAAAAAAGCTTAATATTTATTTATTTACTTTATTATTAAACATTTCTTTCAATGTAAGTTGTTTAAGTTGCTTCGTTTTTTATGTGATAATACATTCTTTTTAATTCTATAAACAGACATAATTTCTTCTTCAGTTACGAAGTTCCGCTGTTCAAGTCTTATAATTGCTGTGTCGAGAATACCAACTAATTTGTCAATCGGAGTTTTTTCGTTTTCAATAACCTCTGTCACTTTCTTCGCTATCGGAAGCGAATTAAAATGACGAGGAATTTGATTTAAATCATATCAAAGACGGAGTACATCGGGATGAAATACTACAGTTAGTAAGGAATTATAAGCCAAATAAAATAAAAACATCTGCCCTGGAGATAAGGATAGTGCTGACAGATCAACTTCCAATTTATTGCGCGCCGCCGCAGCGTTAAAGATAAACAAACATTAAAGTTTAGATAAACAAAGGATATGCCTTTATCCATTTTTTCAGCAATTCCACTTTGTTTAATGGACTTCTAAACATACTTTCGCTTTGTAGATCCTTTACATATTAGTAAATATATATCAGAAATTCTATTTGACATAATCGAAAGTTCAAGCTTACTTTTATAAAATTGCTCTAACAGTCTGCAAAAAATAATAAGCCGGATCCAATTCAAAGATTAAGGAACACCACAATCTGCAACATTAACTGAAATAGATAATTAGATAATTTTAGCTTAGCCTATACCGTCCATTATACATTAAACGTGCACTTGTAAACGTATTTTGCGCACGTGCACACACATATTCGCAGCCGTAAAGGTCTTACAATGCGACGCATGCGCAGAAAGTTTGTAGCTTTGAGGTCCGGATTATAGGTGTCCGAATTAACGACTTTTGACTGTATTTATAATTTTCATCTAATGTAAAAGTGTTTAATTAGATATTAAAAACTGGATGATGTTAGGCTAATTCAATTTTATAATATTCTTACATTTTTTAAGTGAGAAAATATCAAGTGAGGAAGATAAGCTTTTATTTATTACCTGTAATTATAGTAAAATTAATAATTAATGAACATACAGAGGAGAAAAATTCCGATAAAAGATTAAAAAAAGAAAATGTTTTGAATAAAAATTTCTAACAGCAGATCATTTGAAATGAGAAATATTGTCAGCTACCTTTAAATTTATTCTTCTTTCAAAATGTCACATGTAAAATTTATAAGTGCAAAATAAGCAACATTATTAACTGGAAACGAAGTTATTTTCATCAATCATCATTTCTATGTGGAAAGAAGGCTCCAAACAAATACCCAGAAAAGATACGTACTGTTTAATTTAAATCATGGTAACAAGAGAAAATTCTCCAATGCAGAAATCAATTTCAGAGTCTTTAAATACATCTGTAGCAACAATAAATAAAATAATGAACCGAGATTTAGAACTTAAGATAAAAACATAATGCTTACCAGCTTTTATTGAGGCATGTTGCTCATTGCAGAATAATTTGTAGAACCCTGTATGAAAACTGTTAGTATGAAATGAACAGAAATACATTATGCCTTTGATGAAGCATGCGTTAGCTAAATGACTGCAACAAAAAAGTCTATTTATTATTGGAAAAAAAAAAGAGGAAAAAAAGTACAAACCTGGTTCCGTTGATGCAAAGACAGTTTCAGCAAGGGGTTTATAACTTTCAGAGGTTTCTCTTGCAATAGTAAATTAAAAATAAAAAGAATGGGATAAGATGTTAAAATCAACTCAACGTACTATCAAGAAAAAGTTTTACGTCCAATATTTGTAGAATAAATTCTATTTCTTTACCCCAATGACTTTCATGGAGTGAAACTTCATCAAGATAAAACAAGTCATACTTCAAAAAGTACCACTACATCCTTGGAAAAATTAAGACTGGTACAGGTATTGCGAACATACTTTTCCCATGTATTCCACAAAGTCCTCTGATGTTTCTTCTTTGAACTATTGTGCCTCTAGTCTATCGAAAAGAGTTCTTTCTATGCGCAAACCCACCATGAATGATGGACTCTAGAAAGTAGCAGAAGGGGAATGGAAATCAATACACCTGGAAATTTTATGAAAAGTCCTTCTTTCATGGAATAATGAAGCAGACTTATAGTCCAGAAAAAAAGTCTATTAGATCGAACATTTAAAAAATACTCTTTACTTTTTAAACATTCATGAAATGGCCCCAAAATTGCTCTAAAAATGTGTAAACACCCTCTGTACTACTGTGTGACTAAATCTAGTAATCTACCATTTATTGATGTAACATATAAATGTCAACCGATTAAAATTTGGTTGAATCTCAATAAGTCTTACAAAAGTCTAGAATAAATTAAGACAATTCAGATCAAATAAAATCTAATAAGAAAATAAGCTGAAAATCACTAGAGATAAGGGAATAGAATTTGCACAATTTAAGTTTCAACACTGCAATAAATTTCATCTACTGCTGGGGAACATTATCTTTAAAAGAAGTTAGAATTTAAAAAGTGGAGCATTCAGTGGTTTTTTAGGAGATGCAATGGAAAACTAGTAGTCTTCAAGTAAAACCAGTAGAATTCAGCTATGTATTATTTTGTGTGGAAGCTGTGTTGCATTGATAGAATTTTAAAAACTCACTTTGGTGAATTTAAGATAGACAGTAGTTCTAAGACACGTTCCATGACAATCTTCCAGTTCTTTTTATAATCATTTCCAAATGATGAAAGCTGTTGATGAGCTTTACTCAGGCACAATACAGCTCGTGGAACCTGATCTTGGTTTCTAGCAGCCAACTTAAAATAAAAGAAATTTGGGTATTCAGATTTTATTTACATATACAAAATGAAGAGAAAAAAATTAGTAATATATATTAAAAGCTACTTCACTAGCATATTAAAAGTATAGTTATTTTTTACTAAACTTGTGACATATATGATACGTTTGAGTGGGGGGCTGGATAAATTATGAGATTGAAATATAGGGGGGGGGAATCTATAAGACACCGTTAAATTATAAGATGCTTATCAGCATCATAACTACTTGAAGAGACCTCAGTCCATAGATTCACTAACAGAAATAAGGAAGACAGCTTTGATGAAAGGATTACATTAATTCATTCATGAACATTCTTAAAACCACATCATTATACACCCCATAGTTTTCGTATATAGCAATTTACATCTTGACAATGAACGAAGCAGAGCACTATAAAGCACATTTGCTAGCAACAAGCGAAGTACAGAAAAAAAGGAAAGCACAGTTAGGAGCAGTGGTACTTATAATGAAAATTTATTTAACCTGATTGGCTGAGATTTCATTGCATTTCAGGCATGATTACATAAATCAGAATAATTTTCAGATGATGAACTTTAGATTCAAAGACAGGAAGGAGATGAAATCAAATTAAAAATAAGAACTGAAAGGACTATTGCTAAAGTTAGTAGTTTTATTACTAATTACTAATTTTCTTTCATATTTTCTTATGGTGAATTTAAGATAAGTAATAATTCTAGGATATGTTCCATAACAATCTTCCAGTTCTTAAAAAAAAATAGAAAATTAAAATTTTATTTACATACATTAAATGAAGGAAAATATCTAGTATTATACAGTCAAAAGTTGTTAATTCGGACACCTATAATCCGGACCTCAAAGCTACAAACTTTCTGCGCATGCGTCGCATTGTAAGACCTTTACGGCTGCGAATATGTGTGTGCACGTGTGCAAAATACGTTTACGAATGTGCGTTTAATGTATAATGGACAGTATAAGCTAAGCTAAAATTATCTAATTATCTATTTCAGTTAATGTTGCAGATTGTGTTGTTCCTTAATCTTTGAATTGGATCCGGCTTATTATTTTTTGCAGACTGTTAGAGCAATTTTATAAAAGTAAGTTTGAACTTTCGATTATGTCAAATAGAATTTCTGATATATATTTACTAATATGTAAAGGATCTACAAAGCGAAAGTATGTTTAACAGTCCATTAAATTAAGTCCATTAAACAAAGTGGAATTGCTGCAAAAAATGGATAAAGGCATATCCCTTGTTTATCTAAACTTTAATGTTTGTTTATCTTTAACGCTGCGGCGCGCAATAAATTGGAAGTTGATCTGTCAGCACTATCCTTATCTCCAGGGCAGATGTTTTTATTTTATTTGGCTTATAATTCCTTACTAAATGTAGTATTTCATCTCGATGTACTCCGTCTTTGATATGATTTAAATCAAATTCCTCATCATTATAATTTGCTTCCGATAGCGAAGAAAACGACAGAGGTTATTGAAAATTAAAAAATTTCGTTTGACAAATTAGTCGGTATTCTTGACACAGCAATTATAGGACTTGAACAGCGGAACTTTGTAACTGAACAAGAAATTATGTCTGTTTATAGAATTAAAGAGAATGTATTATCACATAAAAAAACGAAACAACTTACATTGAAAGAAATGTTTAATAAAGTAAACAAATAAATATTAAGCTTTTTTTTTTTTTTTTTTTTTTTTTTTTTTTTTTGTAAATTTTGATACCCTTTAGATCATTGTTCTTTATTTCATAAATTACGGTTTCATATTTTTAATTTTATAATTTCTGCATGCCATCTTACCAGATTTAAACTGATGATCTATAATCCGGAAAAATCGATAATCCGTAATCGCCGAAGTCCCGACGAGTCCGGATTAACGACTTTTGACTGTATATTAAATACAATAATAAGCAACTTCACAAGTATATTAGAATAATACTTATTTTTAATAAACTTCTGACATATATGATACTTTTGAGTGGAAGACTGTATAAATTACGGGATTGCAATGTCGAAATCTACAAGATAGCCATTAAATGATGAGATGCTTATCAGCATCATAACTACTTGAAGAGACCCCCCAGTGCATAGATTCACTAAACAAAATAAGGGAGACATCTTTGATGATAGGAATATATAAATTTATTTGTGAATATTCTTGTAATTCACATCATTCTTGGGCACGTAATGCATTCCACAATTTTTGTATACAGCAATTTACATCTTGACAATGAACAAAGCAGAGCACTGCGAAGCACATGTTTGCTAGCAACAAGCAATGCAAAGAAGAAAAAAGGGAAAGCATAGTTAGTAGAAGTGGTATTTATAATATGATAAAAAATAATTTAATCTTATTGGCTGAGATTTTATTGCATATCAGTCATGATTACACAGACAGATTAATTTTCAGATGATGAACTTTAGATTCAAAGAAAGGAAGGAGATGAAACCAAATTAAAAATAGGAATTAAAAGGACTACTGCTAAAGTTATTTGTTTTGTTAATACTTTTCTTGCATATATTCTTACATATATTCTATGTTAATCTACAATTAACCAAAAATTTTAACATTATTTAACATAATTTCAAACTACTTATCTATCATCTCTCTCTCTCTATATATATATAGAGAGAGAGACGAGGGTTACTTTGAAATTTTTCAGATATGCATACGTTTTTTAAACTTATATTAACAAAATTTAAGAAATGTTTGAAGTAGTCTCCATCAGCATCAATGCACTTCTGTAAACGAATTTTCCAAAGATTAAATACCCTAAGCCATTCATTGCTTGGAATTGATAAAAAAATGCATTTATAGCTTCATCAATGTCATCTTGGAAATGAAAATGACGTCCATGTAAGTTCTTTTTTAGATTAAACTATTGCCAAAAGTCATATATAGCTAAACTGAGTGAATAAGGTGGATGTTCTATCACTTTCAAAGCTTTTGTTCAAGAAACTCATTCTTGGGCACACGAGTCCTCTAACATTCACTTATTGAAGAATTTCTGGAAGACAATGATGTAGGAGTTGGTTGTGACTGTCTTCTGTCCTTCCAACTTGATGGCTTTGACCAGTCCTGTACTTCTGAAGAAAACAGCATGCATTACTTTTTTCATGGTGTGTTGTCTTTTCACCACTGTGGACATGGGATCATCTTCAGAGACCCATACTTTACTTTCTTGATGTGATGAATGTCAAAAAATGTTACGTATTTTTCATCACTAGTTACTATTTTAGAAATAATGTGATGGCCATCATCTACAAGTAATTTAACGCTTCCTTTACTGATTCTGACATGCTCTTTTTGGAGCTTAGTTAATTATGAAGAGCCTAACCACTAACTAGTTTTTTCATATACAATTCTTCATGAATAATTATAAATATGGCAGCAGATCCAAAGTTAACTTTTTTTTTCCACTTCTGAATAATTTGGTAGGTGAAGTGATTATCATCGATTAACATTTTATACAGACACATTATCTGGGATTACTGCTGACAACGGCCTTCCAGTGTGTTCTTTATCCTGAAGAGAGTTGCAACCTCTGTGAAATTCTGTAAATCTTCTGAATACTGTAGCACGAGATCAACTTTCATTTCCAAATGCTAATTGCATACATTGAGCACATTTTTATTGATTTAATCCCAATTTAAAATCATAGTAAATCATAGTGCGATAATGTTCTCGCATCAACTCCATTTTTCCTTCTGCCTAAAATTTAATCTACACTAAACTACTTGCAACTGGCCAACAAAAAAATCATCTACTAGGCTAAAACAGTTTATATTTTGAAATCGAACCGTTTTTTTTTCCACTTATTGTCTAATATCTCAAAAATTTCAGAATGGCTTGTGTATATACACACACACACACCTTTTACTTTTAATTATCTTACTCATAATCGTTTATCATAATTATTCAGTTTCTTACTAATACTTTTTATTCAATACCACTATTCAAATATCAAACATTTAATATTTGCTACATTAATACTCAAAAACAAAATTTTACATTGATTTTTCTGTATCAATTTTTCACAATTACCTCATTTATTTTTTAGATTTAGCTCATTCTTAAAATAATTATTAAATTCTTACAAGTCGAATTTTTTAATAATAATCTCATTTTTTTATATAATTCCTAAATTAAAAAAAATTCTTAATTTTTAAGCAATAATTTAAAAGTACTGATACAGTAAATTTTAATAACCTTCCTCAAATAAAACAATTATAAATCTTTTAAATTTATTAATTAATTTTACCAAACATAATTATGAAAAATTATGTTTTCATAAACCCAAAAGTTTAATGATTTTCATCATATAGTTCCAGCTGCCCTAATTAAAACCTTACTTTATTTATAAAACAATTGATATAAAATTTTAAAATCCATAGCACAAAACCCAAAAATCAAAAGTAGATGAACAAATCACATAAAAATCAATTGCATTTTTCAACTAAGATTAGAAGAGGAAATAAATTTTGAATTTCCTTTTAATGAAGAACATGACTTACACATAATTTATACAACAGAATAGCCACAATAATAATTCACACAAAGATTAATGACCATCAAAAACACTGGACTGCATAGTTGAAATCATTCAGAACATTTGTAGATTCATTAAATCACTTTCACAATGCTGGATTAATTTTTGAAGCATTGATTTCTTTTTACTTTATAAAACACCATAAACCAATTTGATAGTTCACTTCTTCTTATACTTGCCTTGAATTTATCACATGAGCGATGATTTGAAAAGCTGGAAAATATGCAAGATAAAAAATCTGTAACTATAAATTATACTTTAAACTAGCAATAGCCCCTTAATTCCTCTTTTAATGTAGGATTCTGCTTGCACATGCATGGACACATGCGAGTGGAAAGATCATCTGGTAGACAGTCAGTGTGTTTAGGTGGTGTTTGCTGTATAGTCAAAAGTCTTTAATCCGGACGTCCATAATCCGGGCCTCAAAGCTACAAA